ATATATATATATATATATATATATATATATATATATATATATATATATATATATATATATATATATATATATATATATATATAACTTGCTTGGTTGTTAGAGCCAAAAACGGGTACAGTGCTCAATGCTGAAAATTCGCAGAGCTTAATATATATTGTTCAAAATGAAACAATTAAAAATAAAAAATTTAAAAAAATTTAATGTGCTGCTACTTAAGTTTCACGTATTACCGGCGATCGTCAGACAGCAATGAATTATGGTGCACACGAGCTTTATATAACCAAGCTATTGGGCTAATTACATAAAATCAGTCTAAATAAAACCTATTGCGACCTATACGAGTGTTCAACTAAAACTGATTTAAAATTTAAACCTTAGTAAATTAATTCAAAACCTACTTTTAAAACCTATGCGTAATTGTTAAAACCAGTCTCAGCGAGCAAATGATTTATGTACGTTATCTCGTTCTTATAATTTTGTATGTAAAATTTGTTTTCATGTCTACACTTGGAGATAAGTTCGTCTCGTGTGTTCAAAAGGCGTGCGTTTCGTCCTTTCAAGATGGCTAGCTTTTCACAGAGGCATAACCCGCATTAATTTGTTGGATCCGTTGGTGTAAGCTTTTGCTGTGTCAATGCTTGACCAACAGATTTTGTATTCTTTTCCTTCGTTCTTTAGACTCCACGCATACTTTGACAGTGATGTTTTGTTGCTGTAATCGATGTTGTTGAATGAGTTCTTGTGTTGAGTAAAACGTTTTTTGAATGTTCCCTCAGTTAGACCGATGTAATCTCTCCCTTGAGGGTCGTCATTCGTGGTTATATGGGCTTTATATACGATGTTTGTGACGAGTCATTTGTTTTGAAGTGGGCATTGCATGTTCTTTTGTATTGCAGTTGCAGTTCTCGTGCGTGTCCTTGTTTCGCGGGTTAAGTGTCCTATTGTTGTGGGATTTAATTATGTTAGCCATGTTCTGGGTGCAGGAATAGCTCACCGGCTTTTATAGTGTTTTTATTAAAAATTTGTGTAGGCGATGGTCTTTTGGGAAGTGTTTTTCAACCAAGGATAAAAATTTGTTTCCGATGTTGGTTTTAAGGCATTTGTTAAAAGGCGGGTTATACCAGATGATTTTCCGTTTTCGGTTCCTTCTGTTGGTGTTTGTGCTAGTTTCATAGGACATTGGGTGGTTGAACCCGCTATAGCGTGTAACGCTTCTTCATAGCACGGTTTTGCATTGTTGAATGCTTCCTCGTTGTGGGATAGTTGGGAGATGCGGCGGTTGACAGCCTCCGGTAGTTGGCGAATGATTGCAGGTGGGTGGTTTGAATGGGCATTTATATAAAGTAGATGGTCGTTGGGTTTTATGTACGGGCAGAATATATCTTTATCTAGATCGAGAGTGATGTCGAGGAAATTCACGATCTTTAGGTTTGTTTTGATCGTTATCGACAGTCCTTCATCTTTGAATTGTTTTGTGATGTTTTTCTTAATCCTTTCGGCTTGCGGTCCCGAGATGTTTTCATATGCAGCCAGGCCATCGTCTCGATATAGCCCTATATTTGACAATTTCTACCCATCTATCACCGAAAGCCTACTAAAGAAAGCTATTGAGTTTGCAAAGAATTTTATTGACATACTGCAAAAAGATATGAACATTATAATGGACACTAGAAAATCCCTCCTCTTCGACGGCGATACTGCGTGGACTAAGAGAGCGAGCGACTATTTGTTTGACGTTACAATGGGATCATACGATGGGGCCGAAATATGTGAGCTCGTTGGCCTGTACATGCTGAATAAATTGTCAGAGAAGGCCGTGATTAAAGGAAATATAGGGCTATATCGAGACGATGGCCTGGCTGCATATGAAGACATCTCGGGACCGCAAGCCGAAAGGATTAAGAAAAACATCACGAAACAATTCAAAGATGAAGGACTGTCGATAACGATCAAAACAAACCTAAAGATCGTGGATTTCCTCGACATCACTCTCGATCTAGATAAAGATATATTCTGCCCGTACATAAAACGCAACGACCGCCCACTTTATATAAATGCCCATTCAAACCACCCACCTCCAATCATTCGCCAACTACCGGAGGCTGTCAACCGCCGCATCTCCCAACTATCCCACAACGAGGAAGCATTCAACAATGCAAAACCGTGCTATGAAGAAGCGTTACACGCTAGCGGGTTCAACCACCCAATGTCCTATGCATGAAACTAGCACAAACACCAACAATCTCGTACCCAGAGCAATGCCGCGCCGGCTAGGAAAGCATTGGCTCTGGGGAAATTGACAACCGGAACCCCTAAATTTAGGGGTTTCGGTTCTTTGTCGGCATGCACGATTGATAAACGTTAAACCAATCACAGCACAGGAAAAATTCAATTTCCCCAGAGCCAATGTCATCCTAGCCCGCGTACAGGCATTGCTCTGGGTACGAGATTGAAACACCAACAGAAGGAACCAAAAACGGAAAATCTTCTTGTATAACCCTTAACCCTTGGCCTTTTAACAAACGCCAAGCTATGACGAATATCGGAAACAAATTTTTATCCTTGGTTGAAGAACACTTCCCAAAAGACCATCGCCTACACAAAATTTTTAATAAAAACACTGTAAAAGCCGGTGAGCTATTCCTGCACCCAGAACATGGCTAACATAATTAAATCCCACAGAACCTCAAAGATAATCCACATGTCAGAAAATTTCTAGTTGGAGATAGTATATATATTTCAGAATCGCTTACCCCTCGAAGAAAGAAGCTATATGGCGATATTAATAAGTTTCGAAAAAAGCTTAAATGGAAGTTTATCTGGTCTCATAACGGACGAATTTACATAAAGAAGAACGAAGCTACAACCGAACGCAATGCTTTTGACACTGCTGATGACCTTGCTAAATTTCAACAACATTTTCAGGCACTCGGCTAAACTGGCATTATGTACGATCTTGTAATAAAGGTATATTTAGCCTATTGGTATTACTTTTCTCCTTCAAACATGCATATCTTTTGCAAAACTTTACTAAGTGTATTTTATTTGGGTGTGTTTGTCCTTTGAAATTAATATTAGCATTTTCTTTTGTGGTAATGCTTTAATGAAATCTTATATATGCAGTGCAATTACCTATAAAATTTAATAGTGCTATTATTATGTTAAAGGCCGGCGCAGTGGAGCTATGTGCTTAGCCAAATTTCATTCGTGCCCATTGGCGTAAGGAGATAGCTCTCGTGTGCGGGCGATTTACGAACAACTTTTGTCATTCGTGCCACTTACGCCAAATATCAAACATGTTTGATAATTTCTGCCTCGCGTGCCAAAATCTTTCCGTGTGCGGCGAACGAAAGGCTTTTGCTTACGGATTGTCTTAACAGCGCATGCGTAGTATACGAAAGTAAACATCCAAGATGGCGGCGCAAAATGAATTGCTGGCCGAGGCAATTTTGCGCCGCCATCTGGGATGTTTACTTTCGTATACTACGCATGCGCTGTTAAGACAATCCGTAAGCACAAGGCTTTCGTTCGCCGCACACGGAAAGATTTTGGCACGTGAGGCAGAAATTATCAAACATGTTTGATATTTGGCGTAAGTGGCACGAATGACAAAAGTTCCAGTGTGCGCCGGCCTTTAAGACGTACGGAGAGATTTCGACCAGTTTCACCAATGTAAACCAGACCACATTCACAAGGAATGCGGTACACACCAGGTTTCTGAGATTCATTTAC